ACAGGTAACTGTGCTCTGGGTAGTACTTTGCTTTGGTAGACACATGCACTCTGCCACATGGGAAAATTAGAAAATATTTTATGAATTATAATTGTGTATATTTAATTGGCATTGATTTTAATTTAAAATTGGAAGCAGGGCATTAAAGTCTTTGGTTACTTCCTAAGCTTTTTAAAAATAAAATAACTTAAAAAGCCTTTCATAGTATGATTTAAAGAGCTTCTACTGGTTTAAAATGTTATTTTAGGAGAGGGATGTATATTCTCCAGGCATAGATCTTGTCTGTGTACTCATATGCGTAGATAATTTTGGCTCCTTGTCATGTACTCAAGCCCTCTTTGGTGTATTCAAGACCATTCAAGCTTTTTAACAGTGACAACAGTGAGTATAAAGTGAGATCCTCCTGAAGGCTGAGGCCTTTGCTTTTGTATTAGCATTTGAACTCAGTGTGTTTAGACACCATAGAGGGAGCTGCCTTTCCTCATTCAAAGAGTTTCTTGCACTTAGTCCTATATTGCTGCCCTGTTATTTAAACGTCAGTTTGTGCTTTTCCCTGGAGAAGTGTGCAGGGTAAACTTCATGAGGGTTCTTGAGGAACTTTAAAACATACCAACACCTCACCTTTTGGCTTGTTAGTGTTTTGTTGCCAAATGTCATGCTTTTGAAAATAATGTTGATTTTCTCCATTATTATGAGGCAAATTAAAATAATTGTGCATGACCTAAATACTCTTTGAGAAATTTGCTTATGGTCATGCTTACCTGTCAAGTTTCCAACAGGTTGTAGGAAGGTACAGCTTCTTAGTGATTCAGTGTGCCTGAACTCATGCTCTACCACTCATCCACAAGTGACCTTCCACAGCACATCCGAAGCAATGCTTCTACCAAGCAAGAAGACATCATGACCTAATAGAATAATCATCATGATTTTTTTATTCTGCAATCTGTGTGTCATATTTTAACCATAAGTTTATACAGTTATTACTTGACAAGTAAAGATAAGGTTATCAAAACCAAACACTGGTCGCTCAAACTCCAAAGGGTTTGAGATTTAGTGGAGGAAGGAAATGGGAAGGAAGAAGATACGACTAATACAAACAGAAGCATGAAAATACCATAGAAAGCATCAAGGAAGAGATGATTATTACTAAATAAATAACATGGGAGCTGATGCTTCATGAATAAGAATGTATTGATTGGCATAAACATCGTGGAAGAAATGCCACAGGCACTATGATGCACAAACAGGAGGTAAGGGAATTTGACTGTTTTCTCTCGGTACCCAAGATTTCTTTCCAATGACGTCATTCACTTGGATCACATGTTCTATGACTACCCACCATTCTCAATCTTCCTTGCCGAGATTGCTAGATTAATTTTCAATCTACTTGAATCTGCAGTCTGGGAAAAGGAGGCGAACATCTTAAAATCTTACAGTTTGCTGCGACCCTGTATATGGAAGTTTCCCCACAGTTTCTGGACAGAACTTCTTCTTTCCTGGTTACGTATCCTCCAACGAAATGTAAACCCACCAAAATTGCTTGATTAGTCCACTTTACCCGAAACACAGAATCTGTGATTTAAGAAAAATGTGTTCAAGGCGACTATCATTCTAAAATTTTTTTTTTCCCCACAGGGTAGAAATGATCTCAGCTGGTGACTGATGTATCCATATGGATAAGTTAAGGAATGCTGGATTTGTAATGTTCTTTAATGCACAGGGTTGAGCGCTTGCTTAATGCAAACCATGAAAGGGAACGTTCTTGTCTCCATCAAGCAAATAAACTGATATGAAGGAATGCATATATGTAGCTTGGCACATCAACATTAACCATCCACAGATAGCCTTCTGGAGTGAGGCCATATTTCTGGGCAGCCCTTTGAAGAAGGAACATGGTTTTGGAAGGCCACAGGAAATAAAATTCCGAGCTTATTCTATCAGCATGCAGGTTATAGTCCTTTGCAAGGCTAAAGGATATTGCTTGACCTTTCTAACTAATTTGCCTCATTTCTTGCACGTATTTACGGAACAGGATGCAGTTTCACATAGATGGAGGAAACCATTGGCTAAGAACTCTTATGAAGCCAGGTGTAGTGGTCTGTAGCTGTAGTCCCAGCAGGCAGGAAGCAGAGCAGCAGAATCACCGTAAGTTTGTGGCAAACCTGGTGTACCCTGTGAACTGAAGGCAAATCAGAGCTACAGAGTGAGACCTTGCCTTGCAGCAGCAGCAACAACAGCAGCAAACTGAAACCAATCAATCAACTAAACAAACAGGATCTTTTATGAATATTAAAATAGAGTAAGAAGTCAGCCACCCCCACGTTAAAACCAATGGTCTGTGCTGAAAACCCAAAGTGACTTTCAACAAATCGATTATTCCTTTACATTTCAAAACCACATCTTAGTCTGGCCCATCTCTCCCTCTGTAGCCGAGCATTCTTAGTTGTGTTGAATACATTTTATATTCAACACAGCAGACAGGCTGCTTTACACTTCCTTCCCGAGTATTTAGACTATCATTTTCTTCTGTTTTCTGTACCTTCCTGCTTAGTGGAAACACTGTTTGTTCTTGGATTGCGCTTTGTCTCCCTTTTCAAGATCATCAAAGTTACTAGTTTGAAGCGTCCCCAAAAGAAATAGCCTTCTAATCCCTAGTTCAGAGGCTAACCTTTATTAGTGCTCTCCCGGCAATAATGAGGACCTGCTTCCAGCAGGGACAAGCTGGAATACTGAACAGATTATTCAGCAAGTTCAGAGCAGAATCTGAAGTTCCTTAGACAACCTGCCTGTGAATACCGCTTTCTTTGCTTTACTGTTTCTGGTTTCCATAGTTTTCCTAATTACGTAAATCACGTGGCGCATGGGAGCAAGTTTCTACTTAATATCAGTTCTGGCACTTTGGTATACATTGAAGTCTAATTTTTTTTTTCTCTCTCAAAGTTGTACATTTTTCTTAAATCGTTATGGAGATTACAAACTCTGAAAACAGTCATTTTGTGCTAGAAAAATCTAGGAAGTGCTCTTTTATAATCTGTTGAGTCTGAAAATTATTTTGTGTTCAATATAGATGACTAAGACTGACAAACCCGTAAAATTTTCTTAGGTTTAAAGTTGAGTTTAACTCTAGGGCATAAAAAAAAAAACAAAAAACAAAAAACAAACAAAACAAAACAAAAAAACCCCAACAAAACAAAACAAAACTTCTAAGTTATTACTTGCTTTCTAATTTATTTAACTTTAAAAATATTAACGCTCAGGCTAAGTATAAGTAGTGCATTTCGATGTTCAAGAAGTGTACTGGATTGAGTGATGATATAACTAAAGCTGTATAGATAAAGATCAAATATATTTATGGATTTGTGTCAGCAAACTAAAAACGCGGGTGGTTCTAAACTGCGTTTAGTTGTGCAAAACTGTCATCAGCATTGACTGACTTGTCTCCCCCATTTTGTTTTTGAAGTAGGAGTTGTATTTCACTTTTAATTTTTTATAGTACATGCAAGGTCACGAGCATGTGGAAGGTATCTATTTACTTAAAACCTATAAAGAAAAGTGGTTGCTGGGAGTGTATATAAGTGGCCTTGAAAGAATTTCAGGAGTTAGTTTCTCAAACTGGATGACTGAATTTCATGCGAACATCTGCAAAGATGTCCACTCACCGCATTATATGTTCCTTTTTATTTTACTGATAGTAGCAGGAAATCTTCAAATCTTTATCTCTAACACTCTCCTAAGTAGCAAACACACTAGAATTTTATGTTGTGCTTCGGTAGGGATTTGGAGAACCCAGTGTGCTAAAATGCATGATATCTTAGCTAAGAGTAAGATTTAGCAGAACACCAGTAGCAAAGGCCATTTGCATAACTCAACCTCTAGCTCAGCTGAGCTTAATTGAAATTCAATTTCCACATCGCAATGCTGGGCCTCTCTGCATAAAATATGCAACATATAACATAACCAAGGGCACAGACCTACTTTCTCTGCTTGTGATCTACTTAATTCATTTTTCTAGTAGAAAAATGTGTAAAAGCAATATACCTAGAATCTATATTTATTCTGCGTGTTTATCTTTGGGATGGACATAGATTTAAGTAAAGACCATGTTACAAAAACTGATCTATATTCCTTTTTTCCCCTGAACCCCAAGATTTTGTTATTTATTTCTGGCTTTTCAGACAAAAATTAAATTTAGAAAGATATTAGCTAGCTGCCATGTCATTTGAGTATTTTACACAAGAAAGACTTTACCAGCTAATCATGTGAAAAAGTGTATAAACATGTCTATCAAGTCCGCATGGATGTTATATTACAGGCACACAAGTAAATATCCTTTGTATATTTACAAAACTCCGGCTGGGACAGCATTCCTATGCCCACCACTAGCGCATATATTCTGGGTACCTGAGAGCACAAAGGTATGAGAAAATCCTTGCTTAACATTCTCTTCTCTCATATTTAAACAGTCTTGTCACCCTGCTTCGCGCGCTGCTTTAACAAATGCCGATGACAGGCCTGGGATAAAAAGGCTTTATAAAGATGTAGATTATATTTGATGAATAATTTCCAGATGTGATATTTTGGGCAGACAGACTCCCCTACAGGAAGCAGTATACAGAAACAACATGCATCTCACAGTTTTATCAGGACAATGCAAGTGGGTTTCGGCAAGGCTGGTTCCAACTCATCTGTGATAAATGAGAAGATAAGGCAATCAGAGCACACCATGACACCCTGTGCAGCTAGTTAGGCACACTTCAGAACTATTCAGGTGTGCTCACACGGCTTATGAGACTTGCTGCGGTGGGGGTGTGTGTGTCACAATATAAATACATCCTTCATGGTGGCCACTGGTAATGCAGGAATTGGCTCTCTAAGACTTAACCCAGGTCAGACATAAATAATAGATGTTAAGAGTTTAGCTCTGGTCTTGGGGCTGCATTCCAGGCAGTGTATCTCATTTGGGTCAAAGGAATTTTTTTCCCCCTTCTTCTCTCCAATAGTTCCTCTGCTTGAAAAATGCCTGCAAAATTCCATCACACCTTTGCGGGGACCACTTTAGGTCTCTTAAGGGAGAAGGTTTCAGCCCCTCGGGCACTAAGATGTACGTCCAAGGAGTTCTTGGGGCCTTAGATCAACGACTAAAGTCTGCAAAAAATTATTACAAGCAGGTGAGTCTTCCCTCTTTAAAAACTACCTTATTGTATGTTTTTTTTCCCCCAGATGTATTTGGTTCTATAGGTGCAATGGTTGGCATTGTGTCATAAGAGAACTATGACATGTTTTGTGAGCTCAGTGCCTGTAAGGGAGCCAAAATGCTCTGGGATCTAGAAGCCAGCAATAATGGTGCTAATTAGGTCTGTCTTTTGGTATGGCATGTCCTGTGTCTCATCTTTTCTTACTGTTTACTCTGTAGAGAAGCAGATCCTTGTGTGGGCATCCCAGAGGCAGTGACACTAAGGAAGAAAATGAAGGGCTCCCCACCCAGTTGAAGTCTTAGACCCCTAATTTTCTCCCCAGTGTAAACTTACCCCACTATTGTAGAAATGGATCTAAAAACAAATTAGATTCAAGAGAAATGAATTGTGATTTAACTTCCCTCATACTTATTTAACACCTATATTTCAGGACCCCAAATAAAATTGAATCAATGTATTTTAGACTAAATTAAACTAGATTTTGCCTTTCAATTTCTGTGTATTCATTCTATAGTGTGTGTGTGTGTGTTTTGTAAATGTGTGTGGGTAAAAAAACATATTTTTGTAATGAGTTTTAGGACATTTGATTTAATTAAAGAAGGATTTAAATTGTAAACAGAATGGTGCAATTCGTATCATAAAAAAAGGAGTTGCAACATTAAAAAAAAAATCTTCTGTTAGGATTAAGTGAAGCCAACCTTTGTGTTCAGTAAGGTCAAGGTTTTACACTGTGAAGGAGGTTCCATTTCAGAACTCAGCTCATTATCTCTGGCTACGGCTGCTGAAAAATGAGTATTTTTGAAAGCTTCTCACTATTCTTTGCATATAGAGAAGAACTGGAGGGAGGTGGGCATGAAGTGACAGTGTCGGTGTTCACACAGCACCTCCTGGCTGTCTGCTTGGAAAAGAGCATCTCACGGTGTGCAGAAGAAAGTTCCTCAATGTGCTCAGGGCTTCCAACGATATCTCAGACTTTTATAGGAAAGTGTATTTGATTTGCTTCACAATTAATTTTAGTGGATCAAAGAGGATTAATAACTACTATAGGCAATTTGATTAAATTCTTTTAATGTTCTACTAGGCGGACATATAAAAAACATTATAGTAAATATTGTATTGTCTTTAATCTTTTTTACATTTAAATATTAATGTTCAACATGTAATGATGTCATAAGATGGATAATGACTTGCTGAATTAAATTTGTTTATTTGCTGTTGTATGTTTTGATTCCACTTACAGAGGGGTTTAAAGATATTTTAAAAAAGCAAATGGACTTTTTCTAATGAACGAAAGCACTGTTTAAATAAAATCCGGAGATGAGCACTTAATAAGTTTTATTGAAAGTGAAGGTTGAAGTGACAGAGGACATCTGGACAATAACAGCCAGCCTCTCTCATTTTTGCCACTCTAAACACTTAAACATTAAAATCAAAAGTTCAGTACGTTGTCGAAAAAATTGTCTTGAGAACAGCTGCTTTGATTTAAAGAGTGCATTACTCAAAATGATCACAAATAAATTTTATTAAATCTTAGTATAAATATGAACAAAATTTTACATTTTTTTTAGTTTTCCCAAGTTGTCTGTTAACTATTCTATAAGAATTTCAATATTATGCTAAGTTTAAGAATTCTTAAAAACCGAGTTTCTTTGTTCTTTTTCTTCCAGCTTTGTCTCTTATTGCATTGTTAACAGTGTTGGGCTTCACTATACTTAAGTTTTATAGTAAAGTACAGAGAATTTATGAAAAAACAAAAACAAAAACAAAACAAACCAAAAACAAACAACAAAAAAAACAACAACCCTATTTCTTTAGTCATGTGTAATTATACATATTTTGTGTCTTTTATCCATGGCTTTAACGTTTTAAAAACTCTCTGCCCTGGTACTTGTTACATTGTCACCACTAAGTGGTAAAAGCCTGACAGTATCTTTATTTTGTGAGTAGGCTTTCCTAGTAAAGGTCCCCCTTGGCATTAATGAGCTTTATTTGAACTGCCTTACTTCATTTGACCTTCCAGAAAGCCATTTCTATTTAGTTTTCTGTCTAACCATGTTAAGGAATCACTAGACAGGTGAAATGTGGATGAATGATGGCTCCTATTTTGTTAACAAATCTTAAGTTTATAAAATTGTAGGACTGTATCACCTATTGACATCATTTCCATTTATTCTACTTCTGGCAGTCAGTAAGAAAACCATACATACTGTTTTGTTGTCTGCCCTAATAGAATGGATTTAAAATTTTTATATTCCCACAGGAGCTTCTCTTGAATAAATTGTTACACTATAACTTTAAAAGAACAGTCAGGGCTACTGGGTTTGTATTTATGGACCTACTCATTTTTTCATTTTAAACTTTAGGTTGGCTATTATAGCATGCAGCTGAATTAAGCACATTACTTTATGGTGATCTTAAATATATACTGCTTCGTGAGTATTAAAATGAGATATTTAGGACAACTTAAAGACACTCAGTCTCACGTTTATCACACGTATTTTTTTTTCAACAGTGGAAAAATCTTGGAAATTCTGAGAGCTAAGCAGAATATTTTTAATTGGTAATCTTTGAAACGGCATAACTGCTTTTCTATGAAATGTAGTTAACACTTTCATCAGAGCCCGCTCCAGCTCATTAGCATTCTTGTTATGTCCTGGTGCTGTTGGTGGGGGTGTTGGAGTAGGAATGCCATTGTGTCGAGTTCCAGTGTTTGGGGACAAACACTGCCGTGGAAGGAACGTGTGAAAAGGCCACAGTCCTGTCAGTGAATGAGCAAGGCTGTGCTTTCTGTGTGCTTCAAGCAGGGAAGCTGTCATTCATGGCTAACACAGCCAAACAGAGGCCAAAACACAAGACTGCACTACCTCTTAAAATGATATTAGTGAGTTTTAAACGTGATCTTCTTTATTTATGATCCTACACGGAGCTTTAGTTGCTGTCAGTAAACAAAATATGTCAGTCTGCTCAGAAATACTGTAAAAATGAAAAAAACGTCCATGGAAGTGTGCCAGGCAGTTACAGTAATTAGGGCTTGGAATAGCTGTTCGGCAGTGTGAAGTACAAACATGATTTGGGGTGGGGAGGGGGCTTCATCCCTGAAAGCTGCTTGTCTTCCTGATTTAGATACTTCTTTGTTTTTCTGTGCCCCAAACTAACAAAATTCCTAGAGAGTTTTACATAATTAACCGTAGCGATCTGTCCTTTTATTAAAAAATATCATTTTTGAAAGGGTTCGTAAACTCTCAGTTTTAACCATTTGAAACTGTTAATGGCCCATCTCAGTTGTTAGAGCTTGTGCAGACACTCCTGAGTGTCAGATAGGAGGCAAAGACATGGTTGCAACCCCCCCTCCCCCCCCCCCCCCCACACCGGACGCCTCAACCCTGGGCTTGAAACCTCTGCTGTGGGACACAAGGTGCCTTTATTCTGTAACTGCGAAATCCAGAGGACTTTCAATCCTACCCCTAAGGTTTTAGCACTTTGGAAAAAAATGTTCAACCCTGATTTAAATTTTAGCTTATGTACGACAAAATGAATTAAAAAGACCCTCCACCATTCCTTACTCTCTTGGGGCATTGCCTAAACTTCACCTGAGTAGTTGAAAAACACAAGCAGTTTCTTCTTATGTCTGAAAATACAGAAGAGAATTTTGTTTCGCTAGTTTTATCTTGAAAATGAATGAATTGAATATTTATATTAACTCAGTTGAGGACAATATGAGTCTAGTCTGGGTGGTTTAAATATTTTTGTATGTAGTTTTCTTTTTCTTTCTTTCTTTTTTTTTAAGAAGCCGGTTTAAGCAAAGAAAACTTTGTCAGTATATTTATATGCATTTTTAGAAAGTTGGAAATCCAGACACTGAATTTCTGTTTAAAAGCTCTTATTTCACTGTTTAAATTGCAACTATATTATGGTTTTTTTTTCCTTATGGGAATATTACTAAATAAGGAAATAATCAGATAATTTCAGTATATGTAGGTTTTATAATTAAAAATTGAATCATATTTTGCCACTATCCCAGTTAAGATTTCCACAGTCTTTTAGATTTAAAAATTTTATAAGCTAAAAATTAATGACTTTACCCACATTTTAATATGTTTCATAAGAAGATATTAAATATAACAACATCATTCTTATCAGAAATTATTCAGCTCAAAATATCTTTGAATTGCTTCAGTGCTGACAAAAATTTGTTTATTGCAAAAAGAGAAGAAAACTTAATATTTTATTCTTATAAGAGAGTGTTTGAAAGCTGTTTTAGATCCTTTGTTTTAGGTCAATGGAAATCATTTGTTAGTCTTACTGTAGCTAAGGGACTATGCACTTTTGTTTTACTCTTTTTTCTGTACGGCAAATGACGCAGGCTGTTCTCTTGAGTTGGCCTTTCAGATATGAAACTTAGTGTATGGTTTCTGAGCAACCTTCCTAATGTCCTTTGAAACCTCTGAACACAGCTTCTAATTCTTAAATGTGTCATCGTGCTGACTGGGAACTGAGAGGTGTCGTTTCGAAAGGGTAGAACTATTTTAAGGTTCTGATAGGGGATACTTTTAGCATATTAGATTGTTCACAGATTTTAGCGATTGTTGATTTCCCCCTGAAACCAAGCTGCGTTCTAGTTACTTGAAGTATTTTAAGAGCCTTAAACTTGTGTCTTTTTTCTAAGTGTCATGCTTTGAGCAGGCCTAACATCAGTTAAATGAAGTGAAAATTGCATTCTTGTCTTGATAGAGATGAAAATGGATTTCTGGTCATGAAATAGATGTAGTTGTCACTTTTTAAAAAAGGTGTCAGCAGTTTGCTTCAGCGAGTAAGGTGCCAATTCAGTATGGCAGTAAACTTGTGATCTGAGCAATCAATAAAAAGCTTCAATAACTTCTGCTTCATTACACTTATAATAAGCGGCTATAGATCCACGGCACATAAAACATTGATAAAGAGGATATGTGGGGATCGGCTGGGGCTGGGGCGACTT